TCTTTTTTCTTGGAACTAAAACCTTTTTCCATCTTGTTTCGAAACCTGAAAAAGTTTTGGTTCTTTTTTTTGGAACTAAAACTTTTTCCATCTTGTTTTGAAACCTGAAAAAGTGTTAGTTCTTTTTTTGGAACTAAAACTTTTTTCCATCTTGTTTTGAAACCTGAAAAAGCTTTAGTTCTTTTTTTTTGGAACTAAAACTTTTTCCCATCTTGTTTTGAAACCTGAAAAAGTTTTAGTTCTTTTTTTGGAACTAAAACTTTTTTCCGTCTTGTTTTGCAACCTGAAAAAGTTTGAGTTCTTTTTTTTGGAACTAAAACTTTTTTCCATCTTGTTTTGAAACCTGAAAAAGTTTTAGTTCTTTTTTTTGGAACTAAAACTTTTTTCCATCTTGGTTTGAAACCTGAGAAAGTTTTAGTTCTTTTTTTTGGAACTAAAACTTTTTTCCATCTTGGTTTGAAACCTGAGAAAGTTTTAGTTCTTTTTTTTGAACTAAAACTTTTTTCCATCTTGTTTCGAAACCTGAAAAAGTTTTAGTTCTTTTTTTGGAACTAAAACCTTTTTCCATCTTGTTTTGAAACCTGAAAAAGTTTTAGTTCTTTTTTTTGGAACTAAAACTTTTTTCCGTCTTGTTTTGAAACCTTAAAATAATTAGAGGTGTTTTTTGTGTTTTTTTTTCGCGTCTGGCGCAGGCACTGTATGTACTATGTACTAGTACTATGTACTGTATTTTTTTTCGGCGCCTTCGGCGCCCTAAATATTTTAGAACGGTCATAGAGGGGGGGCAGGGCGGAACTACTGTTGCAGAACAAAAAAAGAACAAATACAATATGCTAAAGTTAGCAGCGCTACCGCATCAGCCCATTGGGACCAAAGGAAACTTTATTCGGAAATTGAAAGCCAAACAAAAAAATGTAAATCTCCCGAGAAACCCTAAACCCTAAGAAACGAAAAAAGGGCAGCGTGATGTTGACATCGTGATGTTGAAGTGGTCTACCACTACTTTTACATCATCTGACAATGACACTGCAACTGCAGCTGCAACAACAACAACAACAACGAAGCTGAATCTGAATTCAGAAGAAAAAAACTGAATTTTGGAATCACTGCGTCTCACTGCCCATCTCTCCATTCAGTCATGATTTACATAGATTATTTTTACATTTTACAAAGGTTCAATTCATTGACATATTGCTTCAAGCCTTCAACCTCAAGGCTTCGGGCTTCAATCTTCAAGTGGCTTCAAACACACTTGCTTTTTGGCAGCAAACTCAAACATCTAGGACAACCACACAGTGTGTCCAAAAATCTCTCAAACAAAGAAGAGAGGAGGGACGTGTGGAACCCTAAGATGGCAATCGCTAGACAGAGGAAGGAAAACTTAAAACTTTCAAATACACATGCTTCCAAGTGCGGAAGTTCAACACCCAAATGGAAGTTTCCAGAGCGTGAGCAAACCAGCAAGCAAAGGCAGCGCAAGCACGACGCAGCACCACGCAACACCACACAATGTTTGAGCGCACCGCACATTCAGCGCTAACTATTTGCAACCAAAAGCAATGATGTTTGTCCACTTTTGACAATGCTGATTCGCTGGACTAGGTGCAAGAAAGCCACAAAATTGTCAAAAGTGGCAGTTTTTTGTTCAAAAACAAAAAAATCACTTGAGGTTCAAACAAATAAAAGTCAGTCAGTCAGTATATCATGTTCATGGCACCATTTTTTTCCTCACAAGTCATGGTTGTAGTTTGATGCACTTAGATGTTTGTGCTTTGCTTTGTAAGTTTCAGCCAAATTGGCCAGGTTTTTGATACATGTTTGGAATTTCCTCGCGTTTAATCATGTCATTTACATGCCAAAGAAGGAGGAATCAATGGTCGAGTGTCTTTCAGCCAAATTAATTTGATGACATGTTTCACAGAAATGGCACAAAATCCCGAATTTTGTGTGTTTTTCTTGAAAAACCTGGATGTTCCTCGCTGCAAAACACAGAAAAAAAAATCACAAAATTCAATAATTGCCATCATGGTGTTTGGTCGACTGACTCTGTTCAGTGGCATGTGCCATGTTCAGCACCAAAAACTGTATTTTACCGCCATTTTTGGCATTTCCATGAAACTCATCATGCCAGTTTGAAAAAGAAAAAACCAGATTGATCATCCTGTTGAATTCAGAGATAGCAAGCACATTCATATGTTATATGATTTTTGCCCAAAAATGCCTCAAATTGGCCTTTTTTAGCTGCAAAATGCTGTTTTCGGCACCAAAACAGCCGAGCTTCGTAGATGACACTGTGTGTTTAACCTGTTGACAAGCTGGCAAAAAAGGGTGCAACCCTTGGGCATTCACCCCTGCAGCTGAAAACCTAAAATTCTTTTTTCCCCCTGTTGGCCCTTTTTTCAACCATACCCCCCCTGACCATCCCTGACCCACGAAATTTGGCAGTACTGTCGCATGCTAAGTCGATCCTGCGATCGAAGGAGTCGGTGCAGGTGTGTGCGTAACATGCATGCGTGCCTGGGGGTATGGCGCGCATGATCCGCGGATCCGCTGATCCGCTGATCCACTGATCCGATAATCCGCTGCGATCCGCTGATCCGCTGATCCGATGATCCGCTGATCCGCTGATCCGATGATGGCTGGGCAGCAGGACCCGCTGATCCGCTGATCCGCTGATCCGCTGATCCGATGATCCGCTGATCCGCTGATCCGCTGATCCGCTGATCCGCTGATCCGCTGATCCGATGATCCGCTGATCCGCTGATCCGCTGATCCGCTAATCCGCTGATCCGCTGATCCGCTGATCCGCTGATCCGATGATCCGCTGATCCGCTGATCCGCTGATCCGCTGATCTGATGATGGCTGGGCAGCAGGATGATCATGAGTGAGACCGCGACGCCCCAGAGGTATATAGTATGAAATACCAGTTAAATCCAGTTCGTATATTTAAATGTAGTTACCGTATGTTTGCCATCACCAGTCTCAGTCCTTTCATGAAGTGTTGATGTCTACAAGTCTACAAGAGTCCGGGTTACCCATGTCTCCATCATATCAACAGTTTGTTTCACAGCGCTGGAATAAAGTCTGCATGGAATTTGGGCTCAACAAACACACATTGAAGCACTCGTCTCCTTCCTAATGAACAAACCTCAGAAACACTCGTTTAGTGCTATCTCTGTGCTTTGTGAGATCTCAAAAAGAACCAAAAATCGAGAGTTTAACGGCACAGATTGACTCATAAGAGACAAATCATTGCAGCACGGTTTTGCACGGTTTTGCCCAACTTTTGCCCAATGTTAGTCACAATTTCGCTGGCAAAAGATCCATTTTGGAGAGTCTGGTTGAGAGAGTCCGGTTGTTTCACCCAGCCTTGGGCTTTCCCTCCTGGGAATGGCCCCAACAGGCCCATGAAAAATGTAAACCTGATGGGTATGTGACCCAAAGCAAAGTGCTATTCATTGCTATTCCATATCTGATTTTTTGAAGTATATTGAGTCAAGATGAGTCAAGACTTGTTTGTTTTTTTTTTTAAATGCAAGTCATGGCAATTCATGTTTGGAAAAAAACTTCACCCTCTCTCACCCTATGCGCTTTGTTGACCGTCTGGACCAAAGACATATGACACATTCAAGTGGTATTCATGTTTGGTTCAGTAGTCAACCGAGTCGATGCTGAAATTTGGGCTGTCATTGAGTCTTCACTCTGAGAATCCACCATTTCACCCTGTAAAAAATCCAACCAGCAATAGCAAAATAGACGGAATTTCAGAATGTGGGTTCTTCCTGACTCTTTTTGTTGGTATCCTTGGTTCTGACATATGCCAAATGGATCCAGTTGGCAATGACATGACAATGATCAACATGTTTTTCTGAGCCGACTGATCACGATACAACAACCCTTCGAATTCACCAAGTCGCAAAAATTGTCTACATCAAAACATGCCAAAACACTTTGTCAACATGGAGGTTTCCTAGTCGTGGGGGTACCCCCAAATCATCAAATTCATTCGATCATGACTTAGCATGGTTTAACAATGTTTAACAACCCATGGTGGCTCCAGGATCCACCGTTTTAAGAAACCCAAGCCAATGAGGGATTCTGGTCATGAAATCCAAATCAACCCTCCAAATTTCCCAACAAATCTCATGGATGATCTTCGCATTCCCATCCAAATTTGCCATACGATTCAGGCCTAGGGTATATGACCTATATTTGAGGACACATCCATGTTCCGATTAATACGTATATTGTGGATTCATGTGGATTCAATGCGATTTCACAGGATTTAACATGTTTTAACATGGTTTAACATGATCTAACCATATCTTTGCTGCCCATCGTTTGTTGCTACTTCTGCCAAGTCATGTCCAACCCTCCTCGTCCACAGTGGTTTCGATGCTAAGCTCTGCTAGCCTGAGCTGGAAAAATCGGGGGAAAATCATGGAGAAATGATGGGAAAATCATGGCAAAATGGTGGGAGCATGAATGAATATCATGAATATCGTGAAATATCACCATCGTGATTTACTACAATATAGTAAATGAACCAACGATAGTGGTGATATATCATATGAAATATCACCACTATAATGAATATCACCACTGTTGGTTCATGTTGGTTCTACGCCAAGGGATATTCATGGAAATAGGCCCCAGAAGTTGGGATATGGTGAGATTTCCACACCCAAAATCTGCACCAAGTATGGAAACCAATGCTTCTTTTAGCTCCCACAATCTTAAGAGACTTCCATAATATGGATATAGGTCGAATTTAGGAACCCTCAAAAATAGAAAGTCTAATCCCAAAATAGGGGAAAACCACAGGGTTCACTGGTGGCAATTTTTGATCCATACACATTTCCACCCTTGGAATCCATTCTGGAAAATCGCCTTCTACATGCGTTTTTTATTCCAGCTCTTGGGTTTCAAGTTCTGTGGTAAATCATGGTAAATCCATTCTGCCGAAAGGTCGAACATAGGAATCCATAGGACATGAAAATTACAAGCCGTTGCTTTCCAGCTTTCCCCAGCTTTCCGGATGCAGAAGCTGACAGCTGTTGACCAAGTTCTTTGACAGCTGGTCCTCATGAGATGATGGGTTCCCCCGCTGCGCGCTGGTGATGGCTGCAGGGGTGTTGATCATGGTGTCGCGACCTGGTGACCGATCTCCAATCGCTTTTCCAAAACATGGGGAGCTGACGCGTGGAATGGGGCTATGGCTACCCTGGGGTAAACTCACATAGATATTTATAGATGATTTAGCTGTCGAGAATTGTGATTTTCCACATCTATGTTAGTTTACCTTAGGGTGCCTAATGTTTAAATGTTTGGCTGATTAGCCCGACACACTTCTCCCATCCTGACTGGGACGCCTAGACAACAACCTTCAATGGACTATCGGCCGCTTACCATAGGATCTTAACATCGCTTTATTTCTCAGCCTGGTCAACGTCAAAATGCAACGACGATAGAACTGTGACTGTGAGCAAGAGATGGCAAGAGTATTACAGTATTGTTGTCAAAGAATGGTGTGATACTAAAACCATAAACTTATGTTTTTTTAATTCTTCAGATTGAGGTGCACACGACTTTCCTCAACAAGAATGGGTTTGGTACGACCTCAACCTTTCCCACATCTGCCGATCAAAGCTGTCACCTTTTCCAGACTCTGCCGATTCAGGGGAAACATGGGAAACATGGGACCATACCTGTCATGTTCATTTACCCAAAATCCGGAAGAAGTCGTCATTTATCCACATTTCACATATCTCATGGCTCAATCTGCTTGAAACCTCTTGCAGTGCCCCAGCCCAACGCCAAGACACCCATGTTGTTCTTAGGGAAGGCAATGAAGTCACGAATGGTGGTCTGCTGGGTGCCGCATTCCAGCGGTTCCAACAACAATGTGGAGATACAAAACCAAGAGAAGTGATGACACTGCCAAGAACACCATGCACAATTTACCTCGAAAAAATACAACTGGAACCTTGAACCAAAAATGTACAACAAGACCAAATCCAATCTGTCATGCTCACACCAGCAATAACATCTGGAAGGAAGTTCCTCCAATGGTTTGCATCCGCTTTTCGGTCAGTGTCATCGCTAAGTCGTTTCATGGATTTCCCCAACTGGTTCATGCTCACTGTGGAGAACTATAGCCATCTTTTCGGTCGTATATCTTGAACCTTCAAGTTGTGGCGACTGGCAATGAGAGTAATTACGGCTGCAAAAGGTCTGCGACTTTCCGAAATTGGATTGTGTCAGATCCTGAAAAAAAAACATCTCATCTTCGAATTTCAAGTTAAAAACATGTGTCAACTTGGCCTTCCGCTTCTTGAAAAACCATGTGCCTTCCGAAAAAATCACCCCATCTCGGTCCAAAAAATGGACCAAAATGGACCGACCGCCGGGCCTTGCCACCGATGATGGTGCACAAGCGGTCTAAGCCGAAGGCCAGGCCGGCGTGGGGCGGAGCTCCTGGCGCCGCCCGATGGAATGATGTGGAGATATGGAAAAAATATCCAATGACATAGATCTTCATGATTTACTTGATAAACAATTTTGGTTCTGAAATCGAGGTAATGATATAATATAAATACGTAAATTGTTTATACTAAATACTAGATATGATCTCAGCGATGGTGATCTACTTCTCCCAGGGCTCCGTATTCGAAAGCGCCCATCAGAAAGCCGAATTGAGCGAGAGCCTCACAGGGCAACGAAAATCCGGGAGGAATTCTATAGATATGCCAAAAATGCCATATGTGTGCAAATTAGTGGGATTTGACATCCAAAAAATGCCATCGGGGTTTAGAGAGATATGTTATGTAATGATATGTAATGGTATGTAATGGTATGTAATGTTATGTAATGGTATGTAATGGTATCTAATGGTATGTAATGTTATGTAATGGTATGTAATGGTATGTAATGGTATGTAATGGTATGTAATGGTATGTAATGGTATGTAATGGTATGTAATGGTATGTAATGGTATGTAATGGTATGTAATGGTATGTAATGGTATGTAATGGTATGTAATGGTATGTAATGGTATGTAATGGTATGTAATGGTATGTAATGGTATGTAATGGTATGTAATGGTATGTAATGGTATGTAATGGTATGTAATGGTATGTAATGGTATGTAATGGTATGTAATGGTATGTAATGGTATGTAATGGTATGTACTGGTATGTAATGGTATGCAATGGTATGTAATGGTACGTAATGGTATGTAATGATATGTAATGGTATGTAATGGCATGTAATGGTATGTAATGGTATGTAATGTTATGTAATCGTATGTAATGGTATGTAATGTTATGTAATCGTATGTAATGGTATGTAATGTTATGTAATGGTATGTAATGTTATGTAATGGTATGTAACGGTATGTAATGGTATGTAATTTTATGTAATGTTATGTAATGGTATGTAATGTTATGTAATGGTATGTAATGGTATGTAATGCTATGTAGTGATATGCAATGTTATGCAATGTAATGGTATGTAATCGTATGTAAGGGTATGTAGTGTTAGGGAATGGTATGCAATCGTATGTAATCTTATGTAATGTTATGTAATCGTATGGAATCTTATGTAATGTTATGTAGTGTTATGTAATCGTATGTAATCTTATGTGAGGTGATGTAATGGTATGTAATGTTATGTAATCGCATGTAATCTTATGTAATGGTATGTAATGGTATGTAATCTTATGTGATGTTATGTAGTGTTATGTAATATTATGTAATGGTATGTAGTCGTATGTAATGGTATGTAATTTGATTGAATGGCATGTAATGGTATGTAATGGTATGTGATGTTATGTCATGTGATGTAATGCTATGTAATCTTATGTATTGCGATGTAATGGTATGTAATGCTATGTATTGTTATGTAATGGTATGTAATGGTATGTAATGTTATGTAATCGTATGAAATCGTATGTAAGGTTATGTAATGTTATGTAATGTTATGTAATCGTATGTAATCTTATGTAAAGTTATGTCATCGTATGTAATCTCATGTAATGGTATGTAATGGTATGCAATGGTATGTGATGTTATGTAGTGTTATGTAATATTATGTGATTGTATGTAATCTTATGTAATGTTATGTAGTGATATGTAATGTCATGTAATCTTATGTAATGTTCTGTACCCTTATGTAATGTTATGCAATCGTATGTAATCTTATGTAATGTCATGTAATGGTATGTAATGTAATGGTATGTAATAGTATGTAATGTTATGTAGTGTTAGGGAATGGTATGCAATCGTATGTAATCTTATGTAATGGCATGTAATGGTATGTAATCTTATGTAATGTTATGTAATGGTATGTAATGTGTTGTAGTGCTATGTAATGTCATGCAATGTAATGGCATGTAATGTTATGTAATGTTATGTAGTGTTATGTAATGTTATGTAATCGTATGTAATCTTATGTAATGTTATGTAGTCGTATGTAATGGTATGTAATGGTATGTAATGGTATGTAATGGTATGTGATGCTATGTAGTGTTATGTAATGTTATGTAACGGTATGTAGCGGTATGTAATCTTATGTAGTGTTATGTAATCGTGTGTAATCTTATATAATGTTATGTAATGTTATGTAACGGTATGTAACGGTATGTAATCTTATGTAATGTTATGTAATCGTGTGTAATCTGATATAATGTTATGTAATCGTATCTAATCTTATGTAATGTTATGTAATATTATGTAATGGTATGTAATGTTATGTAACCGTATGTTATCTTATGTAATATTATGTAATGGTATGTAATGGTATGTAATGTTATGTAGTGGTATGTAATGGTATGTATGGTATGTATGCATGTATGTATGTATGGATGGATGGAGGGATGGATGGATGTCTGTAATGTCTGTAATGTCTGTAATGTCTGTAATGTCTGCAATGCATGTAATGTATGTAATGTATGTAATGTATGTAATGTATGTGATGTATGTAATGTATGTAATGGATGTGATGTATGTAATGTATGTAATATAGGTACTGTATGTAATATATGTACTGTATGTTCTATATGTACTGTATGTACTGTATGTACTGTATGTAATGTATGTACTGTATGTAATGTATGTAATGTATGTAATGTATGTAATGTATGTAATGTATGTAATGTAATGTACTGTAATGTAATGTAACGTACTGTAATTTAATGTAACGTAATGTAATGCATGTATGAATGAATGTATGTGTATACTACACCAGGTAGTGTATATAAATATATATATATATGGACGTATATAATTACATATGCAGTTATAAACAAAGCCTATCCATATATGTGATAATGACAAAACATGGCAACAGTGATGGTTTAATCCACAAAAGCCGGGATTGATCTTTCGGAACATGGTGCTTCAAGCAAATTAAGTGATTGACAACACCGCCACCACCACCCACCCACCCACCCACCCCACCCACCCACCCACCCACCCACCCAACAACAACACACAATAACAACAACGGGAAGAGCCTATCCCGCAAAATTCAGAATCTGACCCAACCGATGGGGATTGAACCCAGTCAATGTGCTGCTTTGAAACATGTGAAAATTTTAGCCTATACAATGGCGACAGAGAATACAAACAACAAAAGCCACACAAAAACTGTGAATTGAGCCCACAAAATTGATACAAAATGTAGAAGATTCGGAAGATGCCTGACCAAACATGGGCGCCTCCTCTTTGCTGAATCCCAACACTTCAAAGACTTTCTCTTGGAGCGACCGGTCCTTGGTGGAAGCCGCCACAAGGGGTGGTTGAGCCATCAGTCATTGTGAGTCACTGTGATAGCCCGTTGCTTCAGTCTCCCTAAATATGTGTTAGTTGTTTTTCCCCCATTGGTTATGATTCTAAATTCAATCATCCGTGAAAATAAATCAATATGTTGCAGTAGGCCCAAAGACCGACAAATGTGTGTCTTGTTTGGATGTTTCCAGAGTATTGACAACATGTCATCCAGTCACTTTTAGTGTATTTTGCTATATCCCCATGCCCATAGCTTGGTTGGTCTTTCTCAACATATTTTACGGTCACACAACGTTCCACCACCTTTGGAGAAGCCCCTGAGTTCCCGGCGTGAATCCGGACGGAACCACCACCCACCTACGAATGGAACGTTCACACCGTTCTTTTGAGGACTGACAAAAGCAACAAGTGAAGACCAGCTAGCGAAGATAAAAACATCTTCCACCCATACACTGTCTTTATCTCTTTTAACAAATCCAGCTGTACCTTTCCCTAAGTTTGGTTGAATGCATCTTACATCTCCACTTCTGCGTGAAAAACACTCCCTTTGGGGTTTCCAGCTGTTCGTTTTGGGGAGTCTAGGTTGCAACACTCCGAGCATGAAAAGAAGCCTGACATGAGAAACCATCCAACCCCGCAGATCTTCCAAATTCAAAAACTTGATATTGGCGCATTTTGAGGTCCTTCCCTCATCATTTACTTGATGAGTCATTAAATCTAACTATTTGGTGAGGCAGGTGTGAGATCACCATCCTTCAAAAACTTGCCCAAGATCAATCTGCGGCCCAAGTGCCAAACACCCCAGCTGCCTCAACACCATTGATGACCATGTCATAGGCATTGGCTCGCACCTCTCATCTCTGACAAAAAACACTTGAGGCCAAGGGGTAAGGGACGAAAGCTAGCTGGGAAGGCAAAGGGAGAAGGAGGAAGGTGTGAAAGAGCGGTGTGCGAGCAATTGGAGACAAAGTGGAGAGTAAGTCTGATGATGCTGATGATGCTGATGGGGATGATACAAGGACAGTGTCCCACCGGGGATTGAGCCAGAGAAAAACTGCTTCCAAAAGAAACAGCCTGGGAGGTGGTTAACTGTGAAGTTTCATGCGATTGGCGATTTCAGCCCCTGCCAATTGGAAAAGCAAGAGGGGCTTCAGCAAGCCGAGGCTAGCTTTCGTGATAAAGGATTGGTTTCAAACAGAACCTGGGACAACAATGCCATTGGAACAACCTAGGATTGGCTTTGCCAACTCCCATCTCTGAGATCTCAGACACACGCCCCATCCTGAGTCACATCGTTTAAGGTCTCAAATTTGAGTCTACACAGAACATGGTTTTGCCATGGATACACCACGACATGTCATAGGTTCAACCAGTGGTCAAAGCAATGCAATCCACCTGAATTTAGCAGGAAAGCTCCAAGAAATGGCTCATGGACATGGAACATGTTTTTCAACATGACTCTTCTGGGACTCTCCAAACCCGTCCAAACCTCAATGACTCCGCCACCTCCAAAAGCTTCTGGTCCTTGTGGTCCAGGCTCACCATTTTGTCGATATCCTGACGCGTTTCGAATCAGTTGGGGCAGTTCAGTGCGTGCGTTTACGCACAAACCACTGGAAAAATGCCAACTGTTCGTTACACCTGTAAACGTGCTGCAATCATTCAGGAAATTCAACTTCTGGGTAAGCAAAAATTTACGCTGCCTTTATATTCGCAGATTGAGTTGATCCCCACTGCGCCACGTTTACCACGCTTACCCATCCTCCGTCCAAGGTGAGGTAAAGGGATGATGCTTCGCACAGAATCGTTCCTGACCATCTCTGACCAACCAGAGTTAGGGGTCTATCATAAGTTTGTCATCAACGACGTGGATGGTGACCATCAAACATCCGGACTTGATGTGGCATGGGAATAGCATAACTCTCAAAACTGTGGGAACTTAAGCCAAGAACCCCAGAGCCAAGCAAGCAAACATGGACAGATTGCCGGCAAAATGCCGTATACCAACAAACATGGGAAACACACATGTCAACAAAAATCTGTTCATTCCAGCTCGTAAATGACACAAATGTAGCCTGAAGCGCCAAACTCCATGATTTTTTGTGACAATTCGGGGATGTAGCACGAATTAGCATCTAACCCAACACCTGTTATCTGATGAATCCATATGGTTGACCTTTGAGCAAACAACACAGAAGATATGACTACAACCAACCAAGAGTAGTTAAGACACTGACATAGGGATATCTTTGAAAGCCAAAATATTGGGCAAAAAACACTAATCAATATAAGTCAGTGAAGCATTGAGCAGAAATTCAGATTTTGCGGAAATGATGACTTCTTTGGCACACTTCGCAGCACAGCGCAGCCAAATAAGGACCTCATCATCATCCCACTCCAACATAGGAAAGTTCCTGCGAAACTGATGGCGATCACAAATGCGGATCATTTGCTACAAATGTTGGGTCGCAACAGAATATATATATATATATATATGTTTCATTTTGTGTAAAGAATAATATCAAATGTATCATGATGTATATTATTAATTTGTATATCCGAACATATCAATTTTAGAATCGATTGGATGATACTAGTCTTCTATGGATAGTATTGACCGGCCTCTTGCGGCCAGATATTCCGAGGCCACAATGTATGAGTAGGAAATATCATCAGTTCACCTATGGCTATGTTTAATAGACACAACGTATGTACATGTGCATGTCATGCGTTTTCTTATGTACAATATAGAATTGGTACGGTATGGGATTCATTCTGGCGTCAATTTGCATATTCCAGCGAGGTCGCAGAGGCCTTAACAAAATCTACCCAAATATCAAAGCTATAATACATTAAACCACTAAAACATATATAAATACCATTGTCGACCATTTATAACCATTAACATTCCATTTGCATCCCATATATATATATAATATAACATATATCCAGGAATCCCACTAATATCCCATTATATAATACAGGGTTGCTCCAAACACCCCACGATAAATGGGGTAAATATATTCAGCTAAAATCATCCATGTATAATGAGTTGGAGCAACCCTGATTAATATCCCATTGATATGGCTGCCACATCTTGCATTTATATGGCAAGTCTTCATATCCCATTTTTCGATCCCATTACATATTGAAGCCCTAACGATCATAAATCAGTATCAACCAATCATTAATAAACCTATTCACCAGTATCAAAACCAGTATCAACACAAGTATCAACTAGTATAAACAGGAAATTAACCATTGACAACCATTAATAACCAGTATTAAGCATTTTTAAAAATAATATTATTAAGCATTACTAGTATTAACTATTAACATCTATTATTAACCGTAAGCTCCGGAGCAGTCAAGGCAGTCAAGGCACACGACCCACAGGGCGCGGAATCCTTCGTTGCGCAAGCCTGCACCGGAACAGGAGGCCATGGCAGGAAAAGAATGGATTAGGGCATCATGATATACTTACATGTGTATATACATATATATATATATCTATATATATATATATATGCACTACATGCCCTTTCCGCCCTCTGCATTGACTCGTAAGAGCGCACTTTTCTGTGCCAGGGTCAATGTGCCATCTGACTAACAAGGCAAAGATCATCCTAGCCAGTGCATGGTCTAGGATTATTAAAGAAGATCATCCTAGCCAGCACATGGTCTTGGATGATTTTATAAAGACAGACAACCCTAGCCACACAAATGGCTTTAGGTAACGAAACGTACATGGTCTAGGATGATTAAATAAGATCATCCTAGCCAGTACATGGTCTTGGAATTTAACAAAGATCACCCTGGCCATACAAATGGCTTTGGGTAAACGAAACGGAAAACACCCTAACCAACTACAACGAAACGTACATGGTCTAGGATGATTAAAGAAGATCATCCTAGCCAGCACATGGTCTTGGAAATTTAACAAGATCCCCCTAGCCACACGAATGGCTTTGGGTAAATGAAACGGAAAACACCCTAACCAAATACTGGCTTAGGCATAACTTCACGAAACCAAGCGATCGGGGCAGGTGGTGGGAAACCCAAAAGCTCCGGTTGGACGGGATTCGTGCATGCAACTCCTTTGGAGAACACATGCACTACATGCCCTTTCCGCCCTCTGCATTGACTCTTAAGAGCGCACTTTTCTGTGCCAGGGTCAATGTGCCATCTGACTAACAAGGCAAAGATCATCCTAGCCAGTGCATGGTCTAGGATTATTAAAGAAGATCATCCTAGCCAGCACATGGTCTTGGATGATTTTATCAAGACAGACAACCCTAGCCACACAAATGGCTTTAGGTAACGAAACGTACATGGTCTAGGATGATTAAATAAGATCATCCTAGCCAGTACATGGTCTTGGAATTTAACAAAGATCACCCTGGCCACGCAAATGGCTTTGGGTAAACGAAACGGAAAACACCCCAACCAACTACAACGAAACGTACATGGTCTAGGATGATTAAAGAAGATCATCCTAGCCAGCACATAGTCTTGGAAATTTAACAAGATCCCCCTAGCCACACGAATGGCTTTGGGTAAATGAAACGGAAAACACCCTAACCAAATACTGGCTTAGGCATAACTTCACGAAACCAAGCCCCTTCACTTCGCCCCTTCCACGCGTCCCAACCCGGCTGCGAGACGCTCGGCGAGCAGCGCGGATGTATTTCGAGGATTGCATGGCTGGGCTGGTGAAGACATGCTTCTGAAGGCTTTGGTTAAAATGGCGGTAGGTCAAGCAGCGCGGCAGCTGAGACTGCGCGTATAATTTCCTCAATACAAGGTGGGTCTGTGACTGATATCGAGCTGCAGATGAGCTGCGGCAGAGTTTCTGGACAGGCTGCGGGTGCTTACCCTCGACGTCCAAGGCATCAACCAGAAACTAGCCGCAGCTTCTTGGAAAGGTCCCTGTGCCTTTCGCAACCTGCCCATGTTTCTCATAATGCCATTGGCCAGAGTATCTGGCCAAGAACTGGACCACGAACCTTGGGCCATCTTCTTTCATAGATGAATCTTGGAAGCAAAACTTGGAGTTTGATGAACGAATTTACCAGCAAAGCTGCTCTATATTTAAAAAAAAGCCAGGCGCTGCCATGACAGCGGGGCGAGCCGTTGTTCCTGGGTTGCCGATCAACTCCCAGGACAGACCGTGAAAGGTCGGAGCAGCTCGCCAGCCACAGTGCTTTGGTGGCTCCAACTAGGCAATAGGTATGAAGTCAGGATTTTGCCACTGCCAGATCGAAGGGCAGAAGAGCTTGAACCTCCTTGGCAGGGCGGCGATGAAGTTCTAGAGGCTTTAACTCAAACTTCACAGCGCAGCTCTGCAGCTTCTCCACACGACAAGTGGCAGTTTTGAAAACCAGGAAGAGCGCAGGCCAGCTGATCGTCGAAAAAGTGGCCCAGAGGATCAGCAGGCCGCATGGCTACCGGCCTGCACGGATCCGAATTCAAGCTACGGCCGAACATTATTAGAGGCCCTGAATGTAATGAATGTGCCTGCCGCCTGCTCGGTTTCAATTTCCAGCGAAGGCAAGTCAACAAAGCAGACCCTTATACTCCAGCGTGCAGCGAGCATCCGTGACAAACATCGTGGTGAGCTTCGATCCCTGGTTGAAAATCTGCTGGCTCTAAAAACAGACAGCGCCAACAGATCATAGTCATAGTTGCAAAGGCAGCTTGCATGCCGTCAATCCATGACACTAACAGATCAAGGAGACAAAACATGCACTGCAAAGACGCTATTCTTGACACTGATCTGCCAGCTCTCGCCTCAGCCGCATGTGCCGGCTATCAGTAAAAGGTGCTGGACGGGCAGGCAACTTCAAGGCCGGCCAGTGTCAATGGGAGCCATTGGAACGCGTAATATCGAGCAGCTGCAACAAACTGCTGCTCCTGAATCCAAACAAATCAACCGCACACATTCAAGTCCAGCACCTGGCCCACACCACAGGGTAATTGAAGAAACAACGCCCCAGCTGCGACCAGCAACCTTGCTACTCTTTTCTGCAAGGATTGGGTACAAATCGGCTGACCCAGTTCACATGATGTGGCACATAGCCACATAGCTACTCTAGTGGCTTCTTGCTGGGGCGCTTTAAGAATTGACAAAATAGTTTTGAACTGTGGATTGATGGAACTTTGTCTGCACGAAAACATTGCTCTGCAGCAAAATCAAACGTCTTTGTGGAGAGGATCTGGAGGAAGATTTTGGGGAAAGATCTTGGGGGTACTTCTATGCTGGCCACAAAAGTTGACTGGCCTAACGCACGTGCCATGATCCGTGAGACCATTCAAAACAACAGAACTGCCCTTCTCTCCTACCCCATGAAGAGGATCTGGAGGAAGATTTTGGGAAAGAAACGTATTTCTCTGCTGGCCGCAAGTGTTGACTGGCCAAACGCACGTGCCATGATCCGCGTGGCTCTCAATCCAAAAACTCTTGGTTATCCCCTTCCATGCCTCAATATCACTGATGCCTCGTAGGGATACGCACACCAATGCAGCTGCTTAGACAAGAGGGTTTTTTTTGTTCAATGAATCTTGGGTCATGGCAGCGGATCCAGAAACTCAAGGACACCGGGCATGGGAACTGAAGACTTGTCCATTCCTTCCAAAACAGTTGCTTGCAGACCCGATTTTATCGTCCGAAGCTATTTGCCTAGAAGGAAGAAAGGCTTATGACTTATGACTCTCGGGGCCCCACTTCATGCCAGCAAGGACGGGAACTAAACCTCAAGCCGTTGGCGGCACCATTTCAAAAATGTTGCTGGGCGGGCTACTCCATAGCGGGGTCTGCCCAGCCCAAAAAGCAGTGAAGGCTCGCAACTCGCTAACCAAACCTTTGCTCATCCTCCCCCATACCCCTAGGAGAGGACCCCTGGCTCATGCCAGTGGGGCACACACTATTGAACTTTAAACATATTTTTGTGGCATAGTCAGCCGGCTACCCCATAGCGGGGTCTGCCTGGCAAAATTCATTTCAAGGAGTAAGGCTCTTGACTCTCATGCATTGTCCTTCTCCTGGCTTGCCATGATCCCCAAGACGGCCGCTCAACTTGGGAGCCACCAACGGGCCGGGCAGTCAACATTAGCATGTTCTGGGGCAACCTCTCACTGCAGTCTGCTTGGCCACGAAGGGCAAAGCCTTCAAGAAAAGCCTTCAAGAAAAACCCTACATGACAGACAAACCGTAGACGGGCAATCCATGGCTGTCGCGTGGACATAAGTCAGAAACATCTCTAGGACTCTGAGACGTCACAGCTCCGTCCTTCAACATCACGGCCTGTCAGGGCATCGAAATCTTCAGAATCCATTACGCTACCATGCTGCATCTTGGACATTGCTTATTGAGGGTTGCCTGGGTAAAAACCATCCACCAACAGTCTCCCGGCGTCCCCATGGCATTTCCTCTTTCGCCAGCATTTTTAATACCTTCTCCTTTCCTGATCAAAAACTTCGCGCTCCAACTCCAAGCCAGAAGGTTTAGAGGTCTCAACCTCGCATCCTGCTTTCGGCTCTAACCGGCATCATGGGATGAAGCTGTCCACCCAGATACGCACTGTGTCCAACGCTCTAGACCAAAGGCAGCCTCCACCTTGAAATAAATGGCAAAATTTCCCCCCTCTGGTGGGCCTAACACTGGTAGCAGGCATCCAGCGCAGGCAAATTGGAAGCCTTTAACATTCCTGAGACAAAATCATCCCACTCTTTCAGCAATATGATGGCCTTGTCTTGGCCTCCCTTCTGGCCATCGTGACGCTTCCAAAGCTGCCTCTCAGCAAGGTGTCTTCAGGGCCCAAACCATGTGTAACTTTTGCCACCAATTCTTCCGTTCTCACCTCAAAAGGAGACTCTCCCAGGCTCCAACCTGGGAGGACAGGGGCTCAAGTTTTGTGCTCCTTTGTGAGGAGGTTCCTTTTTCTTTGCTTTTCTCCTCCTCCTCTGCCTGAGAGCTCTGAGGTCACCAGGCCTTCAACAAACCAAGAAGCACCTCAGCTCCCCCTACCCTTGCCTCACGGGAGGCCTAGGGAGGAGGCAACTGTGGTCACCTTTAAACCCAAAATAAACCCAAAAGCTCCGGTTGGACGGGATTCGTGCATGCAACTCCTTTGGAGAACACATATATATATAATATATATATAATATATATATATTATATATATATATTAATATGGACATAGTACATATTGATACGTATTACATGTCCGTACTGTGTAAAGATTTGTATAGACCAATAGGCAGAAATTCTTACGTTCCCAATGCCCCCATGAGGCCATGAGGCCCTGCCCTGTGCAACGTCAAAAAAGGGCTTCAAGATCATTCCACATAAAATCAACGAGAATGTGATTTATTTTCCCAACTTGATTTACATACTTATAATTATAAGTCTAATTATAAGTTACAAGTAATGTGACTTATATACATCCAGTAATCAGAAGGGAATCTAATCGGATGCAAATACCATATACTGTACATCCATATACCCTCTGGCAATCACATGTTTGCTGGAAAATCCGCCAGCAATTGCCATGTGACTGAAAAATACCACGCTAGTCATCGTATGTGCCAGCAGCTGTGGATTTACCCATGGTGCCTCAAAATGGGATAAGTGACCACCTAAATTAACGAAAAATGATTAGCTCATCCGTGGTCTCTCATGTCTCTCATGAAAAAAGAGATGAAAAAAATGCTTTTCAGCATCCAAAAGCCCCGTTTTTGCGTGTGAACTCTCCAGTTCTGTTGGAATTCCATATCTGGTTGGTGGTTGAGCCCTACCCCTCTGAAAAATATGAAAGTGAAATGGGAGTACTATTCCCAACTGAATGGAAAAATAAAATTCATGTTCCAAACCACCAATCAGGATATATCTGAGAAAAAGTAGCCACCAAGAAGTTCCTCTCAACAGTTGAACTTCCAAGAGTCAGAGCTATTTTCTTCGGTTCTTGATCTCCGATCCAGTGCCAATTCGTGGTGGTTACATCCAAATTATTCAATTCAAATAACGGTTAGAACATGTTCGCTGTTGCTTAGATACCATTGTTGTTGGTTGAATCGCCATGTTATAAAAATATCATATCCAAGTTTGGTGTGTTGCATCCACATTTTTCATGGCTCGCATCCTGCCTAACTCTGTGCCCATGAGGTGTCGAAACTTTCCCATGGATTCTTGCCTTGGCTGTGCTGAAAAAATCTTCCACTTGGATCGCTCACAAAAATTCGTTAATTGGCTACAGGAAGGGGGCCCAGTTCGTTAGCTAAGTATAATAACAATGGTGTATGATACGCAAATAACGAGAGTTAGATGGGGTTATATAAACATGGTTCTTTTCCTGTAATAATTAATTGGTTTACAATTGGTTGGACATGGTTGGACCAACCCTATAGATTGGCGCATTAAATCCAACGAAATCCAGATATTGGGATTACACAACTCTTCTTGATAGATTCACCACATTAACAACCTTCCCTATTGAAATGCCCCAAACATCCCTTTCACCCTTGGGAAAACAAAAAAACATTTAACAAATGAGCAGACGAACGTGACTGGTTGAGATGCGTGACCAATGATGGGGACATGCATGGATATGCATGGGATGTATATCTTAGGATTTTAACCAACACGGGATAGTGCTGCCAAGGTCCCATAATCATCATCCATCGCCGATGTGCTTTGAATTTGGGATTCATTTTGGAGCTTGAATTTAGATAAATGACAATGAAAATGAGTACGAATCAAGAATAGTCAGAATGTAAGGGTCAAGGTTTTCGTTATATATGTGTTGATAGAACTTTGATCAACCCGTCCCAAACGTGTTTGATTCTTCGAAAGGTTTGTCCGGAATGGATAGTTGTTTCTACATCGATTCATTATTCATCGACCCCTTGTCAAATGCACTGGCTGCCACCCTGCTGCCCACATCGCAATCATGGACTTAAACACACTGGGGCACCAAAAAAAACTGACTCCGACTTTGCTGCAGGAAACGATCTTCATTCTTGAAGCATACCAGAGATAATAGCATATTGAATGCATATTAATGCACATTATATCCCTCAAAATTCAAACCCAAGGCTTCCAAAATGCTCGTTTTCGATATTCACAATCCGTGATGACTTCAAAACAAAACCCGTGGCACCTTCCAGCTGGTCAAACCGGTGGCAAAAAATCATGGCACAGAAAAACATGTGACGTGTGTTTGTAGCTGCATGTGTTTGGTGAGTTTTAATCGATAAATGTTGATTCAATCATGTTCAATGACTATTTGTGTGGTTGTTCAATGTTGTTCATCCCTTCAAACCTTCAAAACTCCAAAGAGTTTCAGTTTTTGAGTCCCTGCCAGCCGCCGGCTCCACAATTCCACGCCCAAGGAACGTCTTCAGCTTAGGCCCTGGCATCTGCCCCAACTTTGAAACGCCAGTCGTTTGGGTTTCGAAAATTGGGTAGCCGGTCCCATGGTTCATGGTCAATTTCCTCATCATTATCGTTATGGCAATAAGTTGGGGGCCCGTCCGTCATTCTGGACAGACCCATGTAGCGAAACAAAGAACAATGACTCAATCACCCGATATATTGCGAGATATTCGTTGTCGGCCGTTGTCGGCATTTGTCGGCTATATTCCCATGATATTCACATTCATTTTAAAATTTAGACTTCGGAAAAAATGGCTGCTGAAAATATCCCATTGAAACATAAACAATAAATCATTGATCTGGGTAATCGAAAAGAAACATATCCTGTGAGAAGGTCAATTTGAAATTAATTTAGTTACCTTATATGTTGCCTTATGTTACCTTGCTAGTTGCCTTGTTATAGATACTAGTCTTTCCATTTCCTGACGTAACTCGCCTGCAATGATCAGTAGCAAATCACCAGGTCCGCAGCCCCCAGGCTTCTCGTTGGCTTTCCTAAGCGGGGCGTCTAGGAGCGGCTCTAGTGGCAAAAGTCGAATAAAAAGGGAAATGAAACTTGATGTAACCAACAAACTGATTTAACCAATAATTGTTGTTTAAACCCCCAAAAAATGATTTGACCCAAAGTTAAGGATTTGACCGACAATGAAACCAGGAAAACTAGTGATCTAACCAACTATATATATGAAGCCCATTCATGATATGTTTTATGATGGACCACATGGGCAGACCTCAACCCTTCTAAGAAAAGAACAAACCCTGCTGCAATGGAGTTCCAACCATACCCTGACTGGACACCCCCAAGCCTCGACTGTTGCCACTTTTTGGCTGTGAGTTGTCATAGCACTCACCGGCGGTGATGCATGCCGTCCATCGAATTAGTAACTAGTCAATGGCACGCACACTTCGTGATGAAATTGCACGAGTGCACGGTACACTAAGCATCGTCATCCTTCCTACACAAGATTGGGCTCCTGGCCCCGCATTCCTAACAGACTGAATGTCTGACTACTGGCTTGACACCTTCCAACGGTGACTAATAGATCCACCGCCGTCATTATTAATGCGGTTTTGAAGTTTAAAATGTAAAAGTTGGGAATTGTCGAAGGCGATCTGGACCCCAGTGGCCAACCAACTTCGAGTCTTGCTTCGCCATGTCTTGAAAAATACCATGACCTGGGGATCCAGATGATACCTGGGACAAGGCAACCTAAGCCAGAAAACTCCTCTGGTCAGACCTGGTTTGGATTTTTTCACAACATGTTCCAACTTAAATTCTTCCAGAGGATTCTCTGAACAGCAATTTTTTTGGCCAAAATTGCTTTATCAAAATTCGCGGCCAATCCATGTGTGTGTTGTGTCCTCTTAATCTTTATCCTTTCTTCGGCTGGACACGCGCAGCTCAGCCGCCAGTTCGGCGGCAACCTGCATGGGGCAAAATGTATCAAATAAAATATACATAATAAGTAAACCATATATATATACAAATATATATATATATTATATATTATATATATATATATACCTGTTACACCGTGAGTATAATTATTCTTTGGCAGCATAATTATTAATAAATTGAGAATAATTATTTTCCTATACGATAAAACCCGTTCAAGCATTGGAGCACCTCTTTGGGTTACTATTTTGAAGCCCCCAAAACAGCAACTATTTCTGCTGATTTTGAGCTCCTATGCAGCTATTTCAAGCGATTTTATGCACCTGTTTCTGGTGATTTCATGCAAAAGGCACCAGCGCCCTGACAACCGGGAAATTGGAGAAAAAAAAACAAATCTGTGGCAAACCTTATGGCACTGTTCAGAACCGTTCAGGGCCATTAAAGACCGTAATGTGTACGTTGTTTCCCATTCAAGACCGTTCTTCGAAATCCCAAACCGTTCGGATTACGTTCGAAGTACGTTCAAATTACGTTAAAAATTACGTTCGATTACGTTCAAGTTGCGCAAAAATTACGTAAATATTACGTAAAAAATAGGGTTCCAAAACAGCACTTTTTATGCAGCTATTTCTGGTGATTTCATGCAAATAAAAAGGGTTTTATGAACCATATATGCAAAAGGCACCAGATACGTTAAAAACCGTTCGAGGTCGATAAAAACCGTTCTGGTAGAATAAAAAAGTCAAAAAAAAAACATTAAAAATAATTTTGTTGAATATTTTTTTTGGGTGGAACAGGTATATATATATATATGTGTATAGATGTTTTATTCTAGCTTATACTATATCCACCGACCCCGGCTGATGCAAGGGGGAGAGCGCGTCAAAGAACAGATTTCTGCTTGTGCAGCAACAACAACAACAACAAACACAAAAATTGATTGTGTGTTGCGTTTCTGCAAGAACTCTCTTTCTCTATATATATATATAAACTGATGGTGCGTCGTGTTTCTGCAAGAACTCTCTCTTTCTCTGTATATTAAATATATATATATATATATATCCACCGACTCCGGCCGGCAAGGGGGATGGTGCCAGGGAAAAGGATGCGGTCCCTTCTAATGTTAGCTCCTGATTAGTAGCTAGGTTCGCTATTGTGGCAAATTTTCTCCAAATTATTCTGAAACTCATGTATTGTTTGGAGGGTTCGCTTTTGTGGCAAAAGAAATTGGGAAAGCCTTTTTTTTGGAAAAAAAACACCTGTAATTGCTGATAAGATTGTTTTCTCAAAAACGCTGAAGCTCAGTCAAGTTTTTGCTCAGCTCTCTATCTGAGCCTGTAAATGCATCTCTATCTGAGTAGGTTTGTTTGCTGGGTTCACTATTGCAGCAAGCTGTGCCAGAGCAGCTCCTGGAAGCCCAGAAGAGAAGCAAGCCTTTTCCAAAAGCAATTGCCAAATTCAAACTCCAAGCCTTTCCCAAAGGAGCCAATCCCTTATTAAACCCTTATTAAAGAACAGCTTTTCCACACTTTTCCAAGGCCTTGGACCAGGAGAGGCTCCATTTCACTTTAGTAGGTTTGTTTGCTGGGTTCACTATTGCAGCAAGCTGTGCCAGAGCAGCTCCTGGAAGCCCAGAAGAGAAGCAAGCCTTTTCCAAAAGCAATTGCCAAATTCAAACTCCAAGCCTTTCCCAAACGAGCCAATTCCTTATTAAACCCTGACTAAAGAACATCTTTTCCACAATCTTCCAAGGCCCTGGACCAGGAGAGGCTCCATTTCACTTTAGTAGGTTTGTTTGCTGGGTTCACTATTGCAGCAAGCTGTGCCCGAGCAGCTCCTGGAAGGTTAGAAGAAAAGCAAGCCTTTTCCTGGAACTACTACAAGCACTTTAAATACTACAACTACTAAAGGTACAACAAGTACTACAAGTACTACAAGTACCACAAGTACTACAAGTACTACAAGTCCAACAAGTACTACAAGTACTACAAGCACTACAAGTACTACAAGTACTACAAGTACTACAAGTACTACAAGTACTACAAGCACTACAAGCAGTACAAGTACTACAAGTACTACAAGTACTACAAGCACTACAAGTACTACAAGTACTACAAGCACTACAAGTACTACAAGTACTACAAGTACTACAAGAAATACAAGTACTACAAGTACTACAAGTACTACAAGTACTACAAGTACTACAAGTACTACAAGCACTACAAGTACTACAAGTACTACAAGTACTACAAGCACTACAAGTACTACAAGTACTACAAGCACTACAAGTACTACAAGCACTACAAGTACTACAAGTACAAGTACTACAAGTACTACAAGTACTACTACAAGTACTACAAGCACTACAAGTACTACAAGTACTACAAGTACTACAAGTACTACAAGTACTACAAGCACTACAAGTACTACAAGTACTACAAGTAGTACAAATACCACAACTTCATCGGCCAAAAATCGGTTTTAATTAGATTTCAATTGTAGCCAATGGAAATCCTTACTTAATTGAGGATATGTGTTTCTTTTGGGAAGAATTTTTTTGACTTTCCACTTGAAAGAGAGTCCAGATATTGTTTAGGGGGAGGGGGGGTATTAGGGGGGCCTCACACTAATCAGGAACCAACATTAACAGCAACAACGATCACAGCAACGACAACAACGACAACAACCAGCAGCCAGCAGCGCAGAAGCAGCAAAAGCAGCAGAAGCATGCAAAAGCAGCACAAGCAGCGCGCCAGCAGCCAGCAGCCAGGAGCACAAGCAGCGCAAGCAGCACCAGCAGCACCAGCGGCACCAGCCGCCGCAGCACCAAGTCCAGCAGCAGGATAATAGCAGGTCCCGCAGCTGAACTCGTCTAGGTTTTAATATAGGAACCCGTCTTGTTTTTAACAGGATTCAGAAGGGACGTCAAGCCTCGGGGCAGCGTGTTTTTGGAGGGGTCGTTCCGTCCTTCAATGGCATGGTGTTTTGGTGTTCGGAGGCGGGTCAGGAGGAACAGCAGGTACAGCAGCAGGAACAGCATTCCAGCACTAGGAGCAGCAGGTCTAGTAGCTGAACTCGTCTAGCTTTTACCATATCCAGAAGGGACGTCAAGCCTCGGGGCAGCGTGTTTTTGGAGGTCGTTCCGTTCTTCAGTGGCATGGTGTTTTGGTGTTTCGGAGGTCGGGAGGAACAGCAGGTACAGCAGAAGGAACAGCAATCCAGCAGTAGGAACAGCAGGTCTAGCAGCTGAACTCGTCCTGTTTTTTTTTCTGTTTTTCAAGGTTCGGGGTTGGAAAAAAATGCCAAAATTATAGTACAAGATGAATTTTGGAGGTCCATGTTGGGCGGATGTTTGCTATTTTTTTGGTGCTTGCCAAGCACGAAAACACGGACAATTATAGTGTTTTTGTGCCTTTGGCATGAAAAAAGTTATTCTTGCAACATGCTGAAAACTGCGTAAATACTAGTGTTGTCGCTAGGCCCGGGCCAAACAAACATAAATACCTTGATTGTTTCCAGAAGGAAAACGAACACCGTAAATACCGTGGTTTTGGGCTTCCGGCGCGCCAAAAACATCGGTATTTACGGTGTTTTTGCTCCGAGAGTGTCAAAAAATGCAAAAACGCCACCTATGTGACGATTTTTGAGGGCCCACAAAAATGCGAAAATAAGATGTCTTGCAAGAACAACAAGAGCGGACTTGAGCAGTTCGGGAACTGCGAAGCCGCACAAAAGTTGAAATCTGGCACGCTTATATATGTCGTTTGCCATCGCGGAAAAGCCCCGCTTGCCGCGCCGAACCTTTCCACTCACTGCCATGTGTCTTTTAACAGCTTTCTCTGCATGTGACTCTATCCATAAACATCCTTGCTCAACACTGGTAATGTGCACACGCATGTTTGCTATCTGCCCTCCTCTTTCGTGCTACCCGCAGCACTCTGCCCTTCTCCGGGGACTTGATCACACTTTCGGCCTATCTCTGCTGCTCTGGGCTCTCAGCTTCCCTACAGTACCAACCCTGTTCAAACCTGTGCTGCCAACACAAACTCCTCAGCTTGACAGCCACAAACGCCCCCAACCCGAAGGGCATCGCCGGTGTGCGATGCTCTACAATTATATTGAGTTGTATTATCTTATATTAGTGTTGTATTTCATTACATCAGATCACATTTTAGCATATTCTTCTAAGTCATATTGTAGGTCATATACCAGTACCCGCACGAGGCGGGGCGGAAGTTGCCTTAGGGGTATATATATATTATAAGACCTTTCTCATCTATAGAACTTGCATGCGCCGTGCGCCAGCCAAGCCCGTGCGTGCGTGCATTCTGCGAAAGTGGTGTCCTGTTTCTCATGTCACATTTGAAGCTCCACTTCACTTCACATTTCTCACTGCACTCTCCACACACTCCACACTTCACGCTTCACACTCCACACTTCACACTTCGCACTGCACTCTTCGCACTCCACACTTCACTTCACACTTCACACTCCACACTTCACACTTCACACTCCACACTTCACACTTCACACTCCACACTTCACACTGCACTCTTCTTGCCCCACACTTCACACTGCACCCTTCACACTCCACACTTCATCTCATCTGAGCTCTTCTCACCTTATCCCAGCTCATCTCTTCTCATCTCATCTCTTCTCATATTTCATCTAAGCTTTCATGAATCACTTCCCAGTACTAGTGCTTTGTGCGAAGCTGTTGCAGTGTTGCTGTCCATGACCTGCGCGCGACCCCGGTACAATGCAAACACTTTCCTCACACTTCACATTGCACTTTTCACATCCCACACTCCACACTTCACACTTGCACTTCATCTCAACTCATCTCATCTGAGCTCTTCTCATCTCATTCCATGTCTTCCCATATGTCAGCTAAGTTCTTCTTGGCTATTTTCATGTCAAGTACTTCCCAGTACTGATGTCTAATGAGAAAATGACCCGCTAAAGACAGGCCACACATGTTCCAATTTGATTCTGATTGGCGCATTGCAAAATGTTTTTGATGGTGCTGTCCTTCTGTAGAAGATTGCACAAGACACTTCCCAGTACTACTTTGTACAACAAAGCTTGCACAAAACACTTCCCAGTACTACTTCGTACTACAAAGCTTGCACAAAACACTTCCCAGTACTACTGTGTACTACAAAGCTTGCACAAAGCACTTCCCAGTACTACTTTTTACTACAAAGCTTGCACAAACACTTCCCAGTACTTACTTTGTACTACAAAGCTTGCACAAAGCACTTCCCAGTACTACTTTGTACTACAAAGCTTGCACAAAGTACTACTTCTACAAGCTTGCACAAAAGTACTACTTTGTACTACAAAGCTTGCACAAAGCACTTCCACAGTACTACTACTTGTACTACAAAGCTTGCACAAAGCACTTCCCAGTACTACTTTGTACTACAAAGCTTGCACAAACCTTCCCAGTACTACTTTGTACTACAAAGCTTGCACAAAACACTTCCCAGTACTACTTTGTACTACAAAGCTTGCACAAAGCACTTCCCAGTACTACTTTGTACTACAAAGCTTGCGCAAAACACTTCCCAGTACTACTTTGTACTGCAAAGCTTGCACAAAGCACTTCCCAGTACTACTTTGTACTACAAGCTTGCACAAACTACTTCCCAGTACTACTGCGACCAAGCAACCTTAACACAGCCATTCCAATGCGATCTGCAGAGACTGAGTTGCAAAACACAATAGAACTTAATAGAACTATGCGCAACGGTGTCGGAAATTGCAGCTCCAAAACCGGATGTCGACGCCAAAGCAGAAAAAAGACGATTTTCAAGCACTTTTTAAAAGAAATTTTAAAAGGAAAATTACTAGCGCCAAAATTGAGAAGATTACTGACACATCGCTATCGCAGCCTGGATGCAGCCACTCCAATACGATTTACGATGTTCAGCTGTAGTATTACGCATGCAGGCGCGGCACCGAGCAACCTTGACGCAGCCACGACAATGCGATCTGCAGAGACTGAGTTGCGAAACACAAAAGAACTATGCGCAACGGTGTCGGAAATTGTAGCTCCAAAACCGGATGTCGACGCCAAAGCAGAAAAAAGACGATTTTCAAGCACTTTTTAAAAGGAAAATTACTAGCGCCAAAATTGCGAAAATTTGCTGACAAATCACTATCGCAGCCTGGATGCAGCCACTCCAATACGATTAACAATCTTCAGCTGCAAAAGACGCTAGTATTACGCATGCAGCTGCGGCATCAAGCAACCTTGACGCAGCCATTCCAATGCGATCTGCAACCACGGCTTCAAGAAACGCATAGAACTACGCACACAGGAACAACCATTGTTGCAAAACACATAGAAGGGACCAAACGACCGCAGCCGCAACCGACGCACACACGAGGTACCTTTCATCGCCGGCTGCAGCCACTTTACACGGAAAAACACAAGGTTTCCTGCTCCGGCTTCCTCCCCACAACACACAGCATGCAACATTCATGCAGCCATTCCAATGCGATCCGCAACCACAGCTTCAAGAAACGCATAGAACTACGCACACAAGAACAACATAGAACAACCATTGTTGCAAAACACATAGAAGGAACCAAACGACCGCAGCCGCAACCGCCGCACACACGAGGTACCTTTCATCGCCGGCTGCAGCCACTTTACACGGAAAAACACAAGGTTTTGTGCTCCGGCTTCCTCCCCACAACACACAGCATGCAACATTCATGCAGCCATTCCAATGCGATCCGCAACCACAGCTTCAAGAAACGCATAGAACTACGCACACAAGAACAACCATTGTTGCAAAACACATAGAAGGGACCAAACGACCGCAGCCGCAACCCCCGCACACACGAGGTACCTTTCATCGCCGGCTGCAGCCACTTTACACGGAAAAACGCAAGGTTTCGTGCTCCGGCTTCCTCCCCGCAACACACAGCATGCAACATGCATGCGCCCATTCCAATGCGATCCGCAACCACAGCTTCAAGAAACGCATAGAAGTACGCACACAGGAACAGCCATTGTTGCAAAACACAAGAAGGGACCAAACGACCGCAGCCGCAACCCCCGCACACACGAGGTACCTTTCATCGCTGGCTGCAGCCACTTTACACGGAAAAACACCAGGTTTCGTGCTCCGGCTTCCTCCCCAAAACATAGCCCATGCAACCTTCATGCAGCCATTCCAATGCGATCTGCAACCACTTCTTCAAGAAACGCATAGAACTACACACAGGAACCACCGTTGTTGCAAAACACATAGAAGGAACCAAACGACCGCAGCCGCACCCGTCGCACACACGAGGTACCTGTCATCGCCGGCTGCAGCCATTTTACACGGAAAAACACAAGGTTTCGTGCTCCGGCTTCCTCCACAAAACATAGCCCATGCAACATGCATGCAGCCATTACATTCCCTTCCTCACCACTTCCCTTCGTCACCACTTCCCATCGTCACCACCTTCCCTTCCTCACCACTTCCCATCGCCACCGCTTCCCCTCATCACCACTTCCCTTCCTCACCACTTCCCCTCATCACCACTTCCCTTCCTCACCACGTCCCATCGTCACCACTTCCCTTCCTCACCACTTCCCTTCGTCACCACTTCCCATCGTCACCACCTTCCTTCCTCACCACTTCCCTTCGTCACCACTTCCCGTCATCACCACTTCCCCTCATCACCACTTCCCATCGTCACCACTTCCCTTCCTCACCACTTCCCTTCGTCACCACTTCCCGCCATGACCACTTCCCTTCCTCACCACTTCCCTTCCTCACCACTTCCCATCGTCACCACTTCCCTTCCTCACCACTTCTCATCGTAACCGCATCCCATCGTAACCACATCCCTTCCTCACCATTTCCCTTCCTCACCACCTCCCTTCCTCACCACTTCCCTTCGTCACCACTTCCCATCGTCACCACCTTCCTTCCTCACCACTTCCCTTCGTCACCACTTCCCGTCATCACCACTTCCCCTCATCACCACTTCCAATCGTCACCACTTCCCTTCCTCACCACTTCCCTTCCTCACCACTTCCCATCGTCACCACCTCCCTTCCTCACCACTTCCCTTCGTCACCACTTCCCTTCCTCACCACTTCCCATCGTAACCACATCCCATCGTAACCACATCCCTTCGTCACCACCCTGTGTCATAGCTTCTTATTCTTTTGTTATGTATTGTTAGATTATGTATTGAGTTAGATTATGTATTGTTCTGTGATCTACCACCCTTCATCATAGTCAATTGCATCAAGTAAAAGTCATTCGTAACTCGGAAGTATTGCTTCCCAACTTCCTTTGATTATGTATATCAGTATCTTACTAATATGTATTATATTATCATTACTATATTACTATAGGTACATAACATAGATATTATCATTACTGTAGATACATAACATAGACATTGTTTTTTATTATCATCATTATTAATTACTATTATAGATCTACTGATAACTATTATTAACTATTCATATAGTACGTTGCATACATATACAGTGTATATATATATAGTTAACACATATATTATATATATAAATATATATATATACATATATCATATGTAATGTAAAGATATATCTCAAAAGGAGGAGACCTGAGCATGGTGCCTCTCCGGCGCCGTTGCAAACATCCGTGACGCAATCGTTGAAGAACGCGGCCTCTGGGCCTTTGGCCTTGGGACGTTTCCATGGTCCGGTTGGACCGGTACCGGTTCAAACGTTGGATGAAATATTGGTTGAAACAGCTTGACACATCCCAAAAATACCCAAAACATATCAGATCATATCAGTGTTTTTTGTTCAGTTGGGATGATCCTAGCATTTTGAAGGGAAATGAAAAGTGCATCCGCTACAGAATTAGCATATTTAGGGTGACTAGAATTTTCAAGAATGAGGGACACAAACATTATTGAACTGATGACTACGAAACAACATTCTTGAAAACATGGTAATCCCCAACAGGGATGAACCATTTGAAAATATTTGAAACAGCCAGGCAAGCAACATTTATGACCGACACCTTTCTTGGGCTATTGATCTGGAAATGACACGACCCAACGGGGATACAACCACCAAGAATGGAAGATGAACATGAACCTTGGTGATTTGGAAAGAGTTCCCCTGGAGGTGTCCATGTTTAAGATCCGAATATGAGAAAGTCAGATAAGGATCCACAGGATCTATACTCCATCCAGCCCGAGAAACCATGGCGGCACCCAAGTGCTTAGCGCAAATCCTCGGCCAAAGTCAGATTGGAGATACGAAATCCAACCCGAATGGCACGTCAGGACGGGTTGAAATAGCTTTAGGCCCTGAGAGCAGTGTGTGTTTGACCATGTTTAATCAGTTTAATCGAAGACGATCCTTCAAAACTGTACCCTAGGGCCCTAGGGCCCATCCACTTCAAATTTGAGTGGGATCTCTGGCAGGAAGGGGCAAGCCACTTTTGACCCTCAGCCGGCTTAATTATGTTTGAAATAGAAATATCATCTGATATATGCCAATGATGTTTGGCTTTATGATGGTCTATGTATGCTTGTGTAGCAACATGTGATAACCAAGTTCTTAACCTGGCTACTGGAGTCAAAGAAACTGAAAAGATATTAATCCATTGGAGTCATCATCATCATGATCATCATCATCATCATCAGCATCATCATGATCAAATCTCATTCAATCTCATGCAATCTCCTTCAATCTCAGTCAATCTCATTTAATCTCATTCAATCTCACTCAATGTCATTCAATTCATTCAATCTCGTTCAATCTCATTCAATCTCACTCAATGTCATTCAATCTCCTTGAATTTCACTCAATCTCGTTCAATCTCATTCAATCTCAGTCAATCTCATTCGATCTCATTCAGTCTCATTCAATCTCATTCAATCTACTTCAATATCCTTCAATATCCTTCAATCTCATTCAATCTCATCCAGTCTCATTCAATCTCGGTCAGTCTCAGTCAATCTCATTCAATCTCATTCAATCTCAGTCAATCTCAGTCGGTCTAAGTCGATCTCATTCAATCTCATTCAATCTCATTCAATCTCATTCAGTCTCATTCAATCTCGTTCAGTCTCATTCAATCTGAGTCAGTCTCAGTCAATATCATTCAATCTCATTCAGTCTCATTCAATCTCAGTCAGTCTCAGTCAATCTCATTCAATCTCATTCAATCTCATTCAATCTCATTCAATCTCAGTCTGTCTCAGTCAAAATCATTCAAACTCATTCAGTCTCATTCAATCTCAGTCAGTCTCAGTCAATCTCATTCAATTTCATTCAATCTCATTCAATTTCATTCAGTATCATTCAATCTCATTCAATCTCATTCAATCTCATTCAATTTCATTCAAATTCACTCAAACTCGTTCAATCTGATTCAATCTCGTTCAATCTCATTCAATCTCATTCAATCTCAGTCAGTTTCAGTCAATATCATTCAATTTCATTCAGTCTCATTCAATCTCAGTCAGTCTAAGTCAATCTCATTCAATTTCATTCAATCTCCTTCAATATCATTCAATATCATTCAATCTCATTCAATCTCATTCAATCTCATTCAATTTCATTCAAATTCATTCAAACTCGTTCAATCTGATTCAATCTCGTTCAATTTCATTCAATCTCATTCAGTCTCAGTCAATCTCAGTCAATTTCAGTCAATCTCATTCAATCTCATACAATATCACTCAGTTTCATTCAATATCATTCAATTTCATTCAATCTCGGTCAATCTCATTCAATCTCATTCATTCCCATTCAATTTCATTCAATCTCATTCAGTCTCGTTTAATCGCATTCAATCTCAGTCAATTTCAGTCAGTCTCAGTCAATCTCATTCAATCTCACTCAGTCTCATTCAATTTCATTCAATTTCATTCAGTCTCATTCAATCTCAGTCAGTCTCAGTCTATCTCATTCAATCTCATTCAATCTCTTTCAGTTTCATTCAATCTCATTCAATGTTCATCCTCCCATTCTAAGGGAAAACATGAAACAAAACCAACATTCGCAGCTGAGCATTGAGCGCGCGAACTTCATGGATCCGAAGGTTCACTGGGGGATTTAATGGGATATGAAGTGGATCCAACCAACTATAGATACCGTTGGCTGGTTGTATCTACAATAATGTTGGATCCTGATTAGTGTGGGGATCCGCTATTGTGTATTTTTCCCAAAATAAATCAGGATCTGTGATCATGATTGTGGGCGTCGCAAATGTGTAAAGTTGTGTTGGTGTATGTGTTGCAGTTTTTTATTTTTCAGTTTGTTTTGTTTTTTTTTCATTTTTTCAGTTTTTTATTTCAATTTTTCCTTTTTTATGCGCAATATTGATCCTAAATAATATGTTTGTTGTGGTGGTCCTCTATTGTGTCCAGCTGTTGTCTGAAGAAACATTTTTTTTAAGGTTAATTATAACCCATCAGCAAAAATTAATTAATTATATAGGATGCTTTATTAAAACCCAATTAAAATAATTTTTCAAGGGGGTAGTCCATGAGCAACCCTGATCCTCAATAGTATGTTGTTGTGGGGGTCCTCTATTGTGTCCAGCTGTTGTCTGGGGTGTTTTTTTCAATCATTCCTTTTATCCTTGTCCTTTGCAAAAGTTTTTTCTTTTACTTTCTTAGTTTCATTTGGATTCTCAAAATGCCTAGTTTCCCAAAATATAGGATGCCTTATTAAAACACCATTAAAAAACAGCAGCCAAAAAATTGTTCAAGGGGGTAGTCCATGAGCAGAACTCAAGTGCACTGCGGTGCGCAGGGTATGCTCTGTACATGCATGCTATGAACATGGTTGCACAAGACAGCTGTACATTAAACATGGTGCATGTTCACCCGTGATTCTGGTCTTGTGGAACCGCTAGTTCCTCTGCTTCTCGAATTCGCCGCTCTCGACGATATTTCTGTTTCATGAGCTTAATTAACTGTGCTTCTGGGGATGGAACTGTATTCCACACTCCGGTTTTCAGAGTACGTCGCAATTCGCTACTGTTCATGTCTTTGGTAAGTGCATCTACGAGCATCTTACTCGTATCTATCCATCGAATTACATCCGGCATGTCGTCTCTCAGTTCATCTTGTTCTTCTTCGTTTGCATCTTCCCAAATGAGTTGGCGTAGCGTTTGTATGTCGATCGATAAACGCTTATCATCGACCTTTCCCATTGTATCACTCTTGAGATGTTCTTCCAGCGGTTTGCAATCTGTGATCCAAATGTGTTGTCGGAAGCTTCTGCTCTTGGTTTCCCAGTCCTTGAGTGATTGTAACTCTCCATGGGTTTCTGCAATCAGGGCTCGGAGTCTCATGCCCTCCTCGATTGCGAAGTTGACGCCATAGGTCTCTGCTTGTAATGTGTTTCTGCAGATCCTTCTGATGATAGTCGACTGCCATGAGATGACGTGAAACGCTGATTCCTCTTTCTTTAGGAAATCAGGGTTGACCAAAATGGTCATTCGTGCTCTTTGGCTTTTGTACTTCTGTACTTTCTTCTTCACCTGCTCATCTTCGTTGGACCATGATGCGTCTGAAACTGTGACAATGCTGCAGTTCTTCCAATTGATTGCATCTGACTTGTAGATTATTCCTTGATTGGAATGTTCTCCGGCTTCATCGATTGCTTGGTTTGCGTAAACCAGATCTTTGATTGTAGCTCTATTGCATTTTGACTGCAACTTTGAAAGTGTATGATAAATCAGGTCTTGCTTGTCTTGCAATCCAGGCTAGACTGCCTACGACACTTCTCAATTGAGCTTTCTCTCCTTCATTCACCGGAGAATCTTTCTTAACTTGTGTGCGATATTTGATCTTCTCAAGTTTCTCAGTTGTGTCTTTGCAAGTTGCTGTGATTGTGAAGTCTTCTGCTTGACTAATTTCTCTTCCGCAAAATCTGAAACTTCCTGTTGAGATCTTCTTGTCTTCCACTTGGAAAATCTTCTGGATGCGCTTCATCACGTCTTCGTATCCAGGCTTGCATGCGTAGATCGAGTCATCTACGTGTGATGCCATTATAACTTTTGGCTCTCCATCTCTTGCGATGTAAACAATGCTGAACTCAGCTTTGAAGCCGTGAGTCCTGCCGCAATGCTCTCTTTCCTCAGTCTTTTCCAGAACAAGCGGCCTGAATCTCGCGATCCATAGATCGGGGTTCGACAGACGTACATTCTGTCGGGGTTGTACCCTGCGATCGGGATTCCCCCTCGAGGTGGCTTGAGGATCATCAGGCGGTCCATGGTTTCACCATGAAAGTAAGCGTTGGTGATGTCCAACGCCATCAGCCTTAGCTTCTCGGATGATGCCCATGATAAAATCATGTTGACAGAGTCGAGATCTGCTGTTGGGCTGCCTGTTCTGATTCCGAGGGTTGTCTCTTGATTCCCAAGTGCAACTGATCTTGATTTGTACTCTGGTTTGTGTGTCACTCCAGGTCGCTTCAAGTGTAAGTGCTTGTCGGTATCGATCCACTGGGTTCCAATTGGCGTGTATCCTTCTCGGAGAAGTTGTTGAAGGCCTTCTCCTTCAATTGGTCTTACTGCCATGAACTTTTCCCATTTCAACCATTCTGCTCTTCGAGCTTCATCTATTCCTTTTCTGGTTGTCTCATCTTCTTTCTCGTAGTTGAATTGTTTTCCTGTAGCTTTCTTCTTTCCATTTTTGGATAGGTCTACCATTGACCTTTCAGCTAGAAATGCATGTGTTTGCTCTTTGGTTTTCACTTGTTTCGTGACTGCGCTTTTGAGAACAAAGATCGTTTTTCCAGTCCATTCACTGTCCATGTTTTCACATGATCCTTCATCCCAGGTATCATGTTTCCGTTTGAATCCTCCATGATCCAACGCCATTTCTGTGATGCGGATGTTGGACAGTTGTTCCATTTCAACAGGATACTTACTGAATCAGGACAAAATAATGCTGTCCTTGGTGTCTCATGTTTCCTGATCAGCAAACCGTGCTCTGGTAGATATTGCCACGTGTCATTGGCAAAGTGCGAACGATTCCAGCCTTCTTGCGCTAAATCGACACCGCTTCCGGTGGTACCAGCACGATTCATGGCTTCTGCCAATGGACTAGGCTCTGCCCGTGATTCTGCAGGCCTTGAAGTCTCTTCTTCGTGTTCTGCTGATGCCCGTGATTCTGAACGTACAGAACCCGACGATAGTCTTCGTCGAATAGCTATGGGGACATCATCTAAGAAATCATTTCTTGATCGTCTCCTTGATGGAATCATTTC